ACATTTAAATAAGGAAACACAATTGCACTTTTATTATTTCAAGTGCAAATTATCTAAATATCTTATTTTAAGAGTAAAAATACTCATTCCATTGGCAAATCATCTCATTAAGCTACTCAAATTAAAGGTAAATGCACTTAATTTAATACATTTTTACTTATTTCTAGATCGTTTTTCCGGTGTAACTGTGTTGGTCAGTTCTATACCATTTTATATAAACATATAAAAATTATTTACCTGCTCTGTTTCCAGAGCATTGTTCACAGGTTGATCAAAACTTTTGCCACTTCCCATGCACCTTTTTCTTCCTTTGGCACATTCTTCGCCTTTGACTATTTGAGCTGATGTAACACCTACATTTCTTCACTATGACATCAATAAAGTCAGTCAGTCAAAATCCATTAGCGCCTTTTAACAATCTTTTTGTGTTGAATTTGTTTTCTAATTGGACCCAGTCAAAATCTGAACGTTGTTTTGATTTGTGGGACAGCGAGAGAGGTGAAAAATGTGGCACTCTCCAGCAGAAATCAGGACATCTGGTCACCAGAGATGGCAAAAGTACTCACTTTCCGTACTTGAGTAAAAGTACAGATACTTGTGTTAAAAAATACTCTGGTAAAAGTGGAAATACTGATTAAACTTCTTTACTCAAGTAAAAGTAACAAAGTACAGGCTTGTAAATTTACTTAAAGTATAAAAGTAAAAGTAGAAACCACTTTTTTCATGCCGTTGCCTACATTTTAAATGGATGTCTGCCAATAGGACTAGATCTCCGTTGTGTTCATTTTCAATCATCTCGTCGTCCATGCTACTATGCTAACGCCACCGCCACCAAGCTGCAATGATTTGCCGCCAATGAATCCCGCCGAATCTGTCGATTCATCTTGTAGTGGTGCGTCAAATGCAACGTAGATTCCCATCCAATTAGATTGAATTTGGTATTGATGACGTGAAAAATAATAACGGTAACTCCATTGAAATGATTCAAAACTAAAGTAACGAGCCAATTTTTTAAAATGTAAGGAGTAGAAAGTACAGATATTTGTGTAAAAATGTAAGGAGTAGAAGTAAAAAGTCACCATAAAAATAAGTAGTAAAGTAAAGTAAAAATATCAGAAAAATCTACTTGAGTACAGTAACAAAGTATTTGTACTTCGTTACTTCCCATCTCTGGTTATAGTTAAAAACTTCAGAATGTTTTCAAACTGTTTTTATCCGTTAGCTACTTTATGCTGGACAGAGAAATAAAAACATCATTGTTGTTGGGAGGTTGAAAAAAATAAAAAACGACTACAGACATTAATATATGGAAGTAAATCTGTGTCGCTGGGATTTGAATTAAAAATGCCACTGAAATTTAAATGTTGTATGTTTGTTCTTACTGTTTCAGTGTTAAAATATATTCAGAACACATTTTTGACCTAAAAAAAATGTCATTGTCATTATTTCTACACAGTTGAAATTTCATTTGTTATTTTCTCTTCAAGCTAAAAATTCACATTACTATTTCAAAGTGATTACATTTTCAATACTTATTTTTCAGTTTAATTTTTCAATATTAAAAAAATCTGCATATAAAAAAATTCAACCTTTCAAAATTCAAACTCAATATTTTCACGGTTTCTTAGTCACGTGACGTGACGCTTGTGGCGCTCATACGGAAGGAAAACCAGCATCATGGACCCGGTCATGCAAGCTAACGCTAACTCAACTGTGAGTTTATTACTTTAATTTTTCTGTAGTTGAGTTAGCGTTAGCTTGCATGACCGGCTCCGTCATGCTGGTTTTCCTTCAGTATGAGCGCCGCAAGCGTCACGTCACGTGACTAAGAAACCATAACGGGATTGGCTGGGTGTTGGACGCCACAATCCATTGCTAATGTCTGTGACCTGAAGTAACCCTTCCCTTTTTACACTGAATTTAGACGCTGAATTTAAGACGATGAAATAGAGCCAGTTGAATCTCAGGAGGCTGAAAATATTCAGTTTGAATTTTGAAAGGTAGAATTTTCTTATATGCTAAAAAATAAGTATTGAAAATGTAATCACTCTAAAATAGTTATATGAATTTTTAGCTTGAAGAGAAAATGACAAATGAAATTTCAACTGTCTAGAAATAATGATAATGAATTTTTTTTTTAGGTCAAAAATGTTTCCTGAATATATTTTAACACTGAAACAGTAATTACAAACATACAACTTTTAAATTTCAGTGGCATTTTTTATTCAAATCCCAGCGACACAGATTTACTTCCATATTAATAAAGAAAAACAAATTCTGAATATGACTGCAGGTCAATGAAAGCTAGACATTTCTGGTTACCCACAGAAACGTCATATCAAGCATTAGTGTCATAATTGGGCAACTACATCCTGTCATCCAATTTTTTTATAATAATAATTGAACTTTATTGATCTCTGCATTTAACCCATCTCCTTGGGGAGCAGTGGACTGCCATCGTGGGGCGCCCAGAGAGCAACGAGGGGTTAAGGGTCTTTGCTCAGAGAGCAAGAGTGGCAGTCTGTGGGAGTGGGGCTCGAACTCAGAACCTCAGGATTCCAAGCTCTATGCCCCAACCGCTAGGCCGCCACTCCCCATAAATTATAGATAAATCAACATTAGTCCAGTTTATATAATGTGTAATATAAAGTGCACAACATGTGGAGATGCTCTGGAAACTCAGGCGAACCTGAAATGACACCAACTAACCTAGAAAGAGGTCATCCTTGACTTATTAAAATACTTCTTTGAGTTTAATGTGCTTTGAAAACCAACAATGAAACATATGGAGAGAATTTATTTTGAAATAGATCTTTACCTGCATTGCTGGCTTTATATTTTTTGTCATTTGTAAATATAATTTTGTTCAAAACTTCAGGTACTTATAAATTTGTGTTCAAATTAAATACAAATACAATGAAATTATGAAAATAAAGATACACATGCAAATCTGATAATTTTCACATATACAAACCATTAAATGCATTCACAAGAAACACATGGACAATAGGACAGCTCACACAAATCAGGTTACGAGTTCACAAAGTTTTTTTGCGAGACATTTCACGCTTCTAGTGAGCTCCCAGATTCGTGTACATGGTGCGTTCAAATGCTGGTGGAAAACCGGGTAATTTTTTTTCCGTGTGTTTCATGTGAATTTCATGTGCGTAGATATTTTTTTTTATTAATTGTATTTGAATTTGATTTTGAAGACACACAAGTTTCTTATGCACCAAATTATATTTACAAATGGAACAAAAATACAAATCCGGCAATCCAGATACAGATATATTGTTAAACAAAATTCTTTCCAAACTATGGAGTGAGTTTTGTTCCATTATGTTTGCAAGCAAAGATGTTTTGTAAATGGAAGTTTGAAAAAAAAATGCATCCAAGAATTGAAACTTCAAAACAATTTTTTACAAAAAAAAACAGGTTTCCAAAGTAACTTAGCAGATTAGATTAAATATTATATTTTATTTTTTAATTTTGTTCTTAAGAACTTTTTTATAATGAGTTTTTTTTTTTAACTCCCTTTTCAGATTCAGTTTGCTCTGTACGGAGCCCCCTAGGGGACATGGGGAATTTTTTTTTTCTTTTGTGTTCCCTCGCAAAAGTATTGCGTTACCTCGCAAAACCTTTTGCGTTACCTCGCAAAACCTTTCGCGAAAGTTTTGTGTTCCCACGAAAAACCTTTTGTGTGAGAATGAAAAACCTTACTTCGTTAAAGTTTGAAAGATATTCACAGATTCGGACTTCCAGGATCAATAACTCTCGTTGTTGAAACACAAATGGCGCCTCTTTCATGTCCTGATAGCACAGACTACGTACTACAAGAATGAATCAAAAAGCGTTATTTTTCCAAACCAGCTGTTGCAGTGCGATCACCAAGAGCCCCTTGGTGTGTGTGGTGATTTTGGAGTCTCTGCACTTTATTGCAGTGGAGTTATTGATTTTTATTTGCAACGTTTTGCTGTTGTTTTAACATTTGCAGACGGTCCCTAACCACTCGCCTGGCTGCTGCCTGTGCATAGAGATCAATGTAATACATCCAGCTCGGAGAACGGCTTGTTTTTCTCGAAAATAACGCTTTTTGATTCTTGTAATACATAGTCTGTGCTATCAGGACATGAAAGAGGCGCCATTTGTGTTTCAACAACGAGAGTTATTGATCCCGGAAGTCCGAATTTGTGAATATCTTTCTAACTTTACCGAAGTAAGGTTTTGCGTTCCCACGCAAAAGGTTTTGCGTTCCCACGCAAAACTTTGCAAAAGGTTTTGCGAGGTAACGCAAAACTTTCGCAAAAGATTTTGCGAGGTAACGCAATACTTTTGTGAGGGAATGCAAAACAAAAAAAAATCCCCATGTCCCCTAGGGGGCTCCGTAGCTCTGCATGGACAGAAACAAAATACTTTTTATTGGTCATTTGATTTATTGGACTTTAAGTGAAGAGAATGCGATTTTAAAAAAAGAACGCAATTCATAAAACACGAAATTCAATCTGAAAAACAGAAATCTGAAAAAAATATTAAATACAGATTCTGTTAAAAACAATAACAAAGTAGAAAAAAATAAAGTTTAAATGAATAACAGAAGCAGAAATTAGTGAAATAAAATCAAAGAAAACTTTTTTCTAAGTTTCATTTTTGGATTGCATGCTACTAAATGCCTTCTTCACTTCAAACAATAATGGAACAAAATTCACTCCTAATTCCTCCAATACATGTGTTTTTAATTCTGGGGTGAGAGGTGGTGATGTACCTAAAACCACGTCAGATTTCAAACCACAAATAACTGGTTTTGCACAAGAACTTTTGCTACTTTGTTTTAGAGAACAGCGGTCTCATAATGCATCATGAACTTCCTCCTTATTTTCCTCCAACCACTTGCCTTATGTGACTCAGAGCATCCTGCAGCTCTTTAGCATGTTAGCGTTTCTGAAACTGTTTCCACCTTTTCTGAGAATGTCTCGCATCTCTCCCTGTCTTTATCGTTTCAGGTATCATGACAAACAGGAAGTGACCAGTAACTTCCTGGGAGCCATGTGGCTTATCTCTATCACCTTCCTCACCATTGGCTACGGTGACATGGTGCCGCACACGTACTGTGGGAAAGGCGTGTGTCTGCTTACGGGAATCATGGTATGTTCTTCTTGGGTTTAGGTAAAGATCTCTCTGAACGTGTGGAAGGAAAATTCATTTTCTATATTATAAATGCACTTCTGCGCCTTTAAAGAGCGTGAATGGTACCCCATCAGAGGTCACGCACCGTTTCTGTTGCTCGTTATATTTCTAAACATGTTGCATCTGTAAAAACTACGGAAGAGGATTAGGGCCAGTGCAAAAAAAAAAAAAAAAGTTAACTAATTTTTTAATTTTATTTCAGTTTAGTATGAGAAAAAAGTCAGAATTCTGACTTTTTTCTCGGAATTCTGACTTTTTTTCTCAGAATTCTGACTGAATTCTGACAATAAAAAAAGTCAAAATTATGAAATTAAAGTCAGAATTCTGTTGAAAAAAGTCAGAATTCTGAGAAAAAAGTCAGAATTCTGAAAAAAAGTCAGAATTCTGACTTTTTTCCCATGTTAAACTGAAATAAAGTTTAAAAATCAATTAACTTTTTTTTTTCCCAGTGGCCCTAATCCTCTTCCGTAAAAAACAAAACATTTTAGCATATTTTATATTTTCAATTTCCTGTTTCCTCTCTCAGATTGGCTTTTATGAATGGTATGGCTCTTGAAATTGTTTTTACGGATCCCCTTTTACAGACCACATTTTTTATTCTGTGCCCCCATGAACCCCCCCACCCCCCCCCCCCTATATTAACGCAAGGATAATAAAAAAAAGTATCTACGGAAGCTGAGAGCGGTCGTGTCCCTCCGATACTTTTCACTGTGGTTTTCTTGAGAAAATGAGTTAATTTTTTTCTTTATCTAAAGAGAATGAAATCCGTTTTCTCATAACGAGATGATTGGTGCGTGTTAAACCAATTACATCCTTCAATACCACAACAGCGGGAGATGATTTAGGATAAGTATAAGTCATGGCAGCCTATTTAATTCTGTAAATAATCCTACGTTCAACTTTTAGGTAACGAGACGACGTTGGTGGTTTGATGATTTGCTTCCACTTCTTATTCATAAGCAATTAAACCTATGCCTCCTCCGCCTAAGCACCAGTGTTACGCCTGTAACAGGTATAAGATTCATTAACCCCCAAAATGAGTCCAGATTAAAGATTTTCATTTAAAATAGTGTTGCGCTGATGCCATTTTTTGGCCCAGATACCGATAACCGATACGTGGCTATGCAGTATCGGCCGATACCGATACCATTCCGATACCATCTGTTTGAAATTGATGTGTCTGTGTGTATGTATGAAAAACGGCATGTAAAATAATTGCCATCATGGCTTTGTCAAACTGCTGCCTACCTTTGTGAAGCAGGAAAAAGACTAGTGTTGCACCGATACCTGTATCGGACGGGGCCCCGATACTGCCCTAAAATGGTGGTATCGGTATCGGCGAGTACCAACAAATAGGGCACTGATACCATTTTGAGAGCCAAAAGTTTCTTAAACTATTGTCACCCACTCCTGGTAGCCAATAAAATGTTCTACTGGATTCACTTTGTTTTAGATTTTTTCGCTCAGACCCCCGTACACTGGCCGTGCTTTGTCATTGGGAATCCCCTTCAACGGTCCGGTCGCCTCTTTGCGGTTTTCCGCTACTGTTCGCTACTGTTTTAAGTTAATATAACTGTTAATAAACTGTTTCAGATCTTTCAGAACTGATCTTTCAGATCTTTCAGATGTTTCTGAACTGTTTCAGTTCTTTTGCTGCACCTTTGCGCGTCAACCATTGATTTTGCATGTAAACTAGCTGCTTCTGCTGCCTCTGCTGCTTGCGGTCTGAACATAGCATAAGAGCACTTATAGAGAATTAGAGTAAAAGTAGGGCTGAAAACATCTGCATGTAACACTTTTCAGTTTTTTGGGGGGGTGTAATGTTGCTATGATGTTATGATTAATTGGTAAAGTGTTGCTGTTTGTCCACCATTATGTTGAACAACAGGGAGCTGGTTGCACTGCGCTGGTGGTTGCAGTGGTTGCCAGGAAGCTGGAGCTGACCAAGGCTGAGAAGCATGTCCACAACTTTATGATGGACACACAACTCTGCAAACGAGTGAGTTGAGTTCAACCGAATAAAAACTGCACATTTTGTAGATGTTTGCTAGATGCATTTTGAATTTCATTTTGTAGTGTCACCATTTTTGCCAGAGTCAATAATTTATCTCAATAATATTTTAGACACAATGGACATTTTATACTGATGGAAAACTGTGTGTGGGGTGTAATTTTAAATCGTTTTTCGACAGCTCAGCGCTGTATAATAATGGAACAAGACAATTTACACTTAAAATAAGAAAACACGATTGCATTGTCTTATTTCAAGTGCATATTTTCTAATTATCTTATCTTAAGAGTAAAAATACTCATTCCATTGGCAAACTATCTTATTTACCTACTTAGAATAAGGATAAACACTTAATTTAAGAAATTTTTACTTATTTCTAGTTCGTTTTTGCAGTGTAGTTAATCGATCAGCTGCTGCACTGCAAAAACGAGCTAGAAATTAGTAAAAATGTCCTGAATTAAGTGCATTCACCCTTAATTTGAGTAGGTAAATTAGAAAGTTTGCCAATGGAATGAGTAATTTTACTCCTAAAAATAAGATAATTAGATAATATGTACTTGAAATAAGACAATGTGATTGCGTTTTCTTATTTTAAGTGTAAATTATCTTGTTCCATTGGCAGAATGTCTGTTTTACCTCCTCAATTCAAGAATAAATGCAATTATTTTAAGAAAAAAATGACTTATCTAGATTTAGATTTTTTTGCAGTGTGATGCAAAGAAAGCTGTACACAACAAAAAATGCCTTCCAAGAAATAAGAAAAATATATAGTGTTTTAAGTGAATGATTGCTTATTTTTAGCAAAAAATTCTGCCAGTGCAGCAAGCAAATGAGACTTGGTAAGATTTCTTAAAACAAGAACATAGTAAGCATCCAAAAAAACTTAAAGCAAGAAGAAAACACAATTGCATTGTCTTATTTCAAGTCCATATTTTCTAATTATCTTATCTTAAGAGTAAAAATACTCATTCCATTGGCAAACTATCTTATTTACCTACTTAGAATAAGGATAAACACTTAATTTAAGAAATTTTTACTTATTTCTAGATCGTTTTTGCAGTGTAGTTAATCGATCAGCTGCTGCACTGCAAAAACGATATAAAAATAAGTCAAAATTTCTTAAATTAAGTGTATTCACCCTTCATTTGAGTAGGTAAATGAGAAAGTTTGCCATTGGAATGAGTATTTTTACTCTTAAAATAAGATAATTGGATAAAATGGACTTGAAATAAGACAATGCAATTGTGTTTTCTTATTTTAAGTGTAAAAATTCTTGTTTCATTGGCAAAATGTCTCTTTTACCTCCTCAATTCAAGAACAAATGCACTTATTATAATAAAAAAATGACTTATCTAGATTTAGATTTTTTGCAGTGTAGAAAAATCTATTTCTTCTTTTACTTGTTAAGATTTTTTCTCTTATTTTAAGCAATTTATTCTCATTTATTAGTCATTATTGCTTAGAACTAAATAACCTCTAACCAATTATTGCTCAAAACAAGCAGACAACAGGCTTAAAAACAAGGCAAATATAGTCGATACCAGTTCATTTAAAGGCTTAAAACTAGTCTGTTTTTCTTAGCTAGAATTAATTTCATTATTTAGGTGTAGTGAATGTATGGGAAGAATACACTTGACAAAAACTTCAAAACGTTTTTTTTATTAATATTTTAGCAGAAATGTCACAGAATTAAGCGAAACGAAACGAAAACGGCTCCAAATGACACAAAACTCATAGAACATGATGTAATAACGTAAATTAAAGGGCCAAATGTAAAAAATGCCGTTCCCCCTTTAAGGCAGAGCTTCTATTTTAATAAGCATATGTATGATGTACAGTTGTGATGATGTATTGTAAACAGTGAATGGTCCACTGGTGAGGTTCAGAATCTCAAAGCTAAATCATGAATGACAATCAGAATAACTCTATCAATTTGAATGCAATCACAGTTAATTAGCCGGAATATCTTAATGAGATGGGGTCAGTTCTTAAAACAGGTTAATATGGATTGTCTTATTGTCTTAAAACAAGTAAAAATGTAATCACAGTCTAAATGTTAACGCGACTAGCTCCGCAATGTGTGCTATTTTAAGAAAAAAGCTGCTCAGAATTAGTTGTATTATCTAGTTAGGATGAAAAAAAATGAATTTTCTTAAAACAAGTCAAATAATCTTAACAATATTTAGTCTTACTAAGAAAATACATTGAAAAACAAATGTAATAAGACCAAAATGCTTAATTAAAGTTTATTACACTTGTATAGATTTTCCTTTTTTGCAGTGCACAAGTTCTGCCATCTTGAATCTCTTTTTCACCCTCAGGTAAAGAACACAGCTGCCAATGTACTCAGGGAAACATGGCTCATTTACAAACACACCAAGCTGGTCAAGAAGATAGATCATGCCAAGGTGCGGAAACACCAACGCAAGTTTCTCCAAGCCATCCACCAGTAAGTCCTGGACTTCCTGCGCTCTGATCGACTGTCTAAACTGGTTGCTGCCCTTTTAAAAATCTCTCTCCAGAAAGTAAAAATAAATAAATACATTCAGTGTACTGGTTATTTTGCTAATATGGTAAAAAACTGTAGCCATAGCTGTATAGAGTTGTTGTTATAGTGTTGTTGTCGTGTAAATTTAAACAGATACACACAAACACACTCAAACTATTGTGATGGTCCTTCCTCTTTCCCTCCCCTCCTCCCTTTACCCCCTCCAACCCTCTTCTACCCTGCGCTTACAGCGACAAGTGTAACAGTTTCACTCGTTTCGTGAATGTTGTAAGGTTAAAACTCTGTATTGTGTTCTGTCCTTGTTTTGCTCTATCACCGCAGAGCTCAGAAGTAAGTTAAGTCTTCTATGTTATCCTTCTCCTCCTGTTTCCTCAACATCCTCCTCTTCCTCCTCCTTCTCTCCATGTCTGCGTTTGACATGCATGAGAAAAAGAATGATAATTTTTGGATGCTGACTTAATTATTTTTTTTTGTTTCGGTTTTGTTCTTTTCTTGGTGTTCCATTTCCTCCCCTCTCCTTCCCATTCTCTCTTGAATGGAATGACGCAAAAAAAAAAAAGCATCAACATTTTGCCACCAGTGTCAGTAATTAAAGGTTGTCTGGAGAGAATGTGTGAAAGAAAAAAAACAAAACAAAGATTCTCACAGAGAGTGAGCTTGGACCTTTTTATAGGCCAAGATCATACTCATCTACCGCACACAAGTATGACTAATATAGCCGCTCCCGGGGCTATATTAACCGTCATCGGCAGAACTCATCCTACATATTCCTGATGGTTTTGTGATGACATTTATCCAAAGCTTGTAACAACACTGTAGTCACATAAAGGAGCTAAACTGTTTAAAATATTTTAAATCTTGATTTATGCACATTCAATGGAAAAGTCTGGTCAGCAAGGAATAACCAATGGGTCATTATACCTAAAAATAATATGTTTGAGGTGATTTAATAAATTTAACGTTAATCTGTAAACAAATTAATAAAAACAATGTTTTTTGTTGCAATCACTGACACCGGGAGCGGCCATTTTTGCCCAAATATAGTAACACCTTACTAACATCTTCCGGCAGTGACATCATGTTGGGGTTAGCTTAGCGCTCAGGCTCGGACTGGTAATCTGTGATACCGGGCATTTGCCCCGGTGGGTCTCTCCTAATTTCAACATGCAATGGCAGCCCTTCTTAAATCATACCGGCCCCAAAACTTACTCTCTGGCCGAAGCTCCTTCCTGTGACAGTAAATAACTCAAGGAGCTCGAGAAGTAATCCAATGTTAACTACCTTATTGATGCATGCTGTATATACACTCACCGGCCACTTTATTAGGTACACCTGTCCAACTGCTCGTTAACACTTAATTTCAAAGCAGCCAATCACATGGCGGCAACTCAGTGCATTTAGGCATGTAGACATGGTCAAGACAATCTCCTGCAGTTTAAACCGAGCATCAGTATGGGGAAGAAAGGTGATTTGAGTGACTTTGAACGTGGCATGATTGTTGGTGCCAGAAGGGCTGGTCTGAGTATTTCAGAAACTGCTGATCTACTGGGATTTTCATGCACAACCATCTCTAGGGTTTACAGAGAATGGTCCGAAAAAGAAAAAACATCCAGTGAGCGGCAGTTCTGTGGGCGGAAATGCCTTGTTGATGCCAGAGGTCAGAGGAGAATGGCCAGACTGGTTCGAGCTGATAGAAGGGCAACAGTGACTCAAATAACCACCCGTTACAACCAAGGTGGGCAGAAGAGCATCTCTGAACGCACAGTACGTCGAACTTTGAGGCAGATGGGCTACAGCAGCAGAAGACCACACCGGGTGCCACTCCTTTCAGCTAAGAACAGGAAACTGAGGCTACAATTTGCACAAGCTCATCGAAATTGGACAATAGAAGATTGAAAAAACGTTGCCTGGTCTGATGAGTCTCGATTTCTGCTGCGACATTCGGATGGTAGGGTCAGAATGTGGCGTCTACAACATGAAAGCATGGATCCATCCTGCCTTGTATCAACGGTTCAGGCTGGTGGTGGTGGTGTCATGGTGTGGGGAATATTTTCTTGGCACTCTTTGGGCCCCTTGGTACCAATTGAGCATCGTTGCAACGCCACAGCCTACCTGAGTATTGTTGCTGACCATGTCCATCCCTTTATGACCACAATGTACCCAACTTCTGATGGCTACTTTCAGCAGGATAATGCGCCATGTCATAAAGCTGGAATCATCTCAGACTGGTTTCTTGAACATGACAATGAGTTCACTGTACTCAAATGGCCTCCACAGTCACCAGATCTCAATCCAATGGAGCATCTTTGGGATGTGGTGGAACGGGAGATTCGCATCATGGATGTGCAGCCGACAAATCTGCGGCAACTGTGTGATGCCATCATGTCAATATGGACCAAACTCCCTGAGGAATGCTTCCAGCACCTTGTTGAATCTATGCCACCAAGAAATGAGGCAGTTCTGAAGGCAAAAGGGGGTCCAACCCGTTACTAGCATGGGGTACCTAATAAAGTGGCCGGTGAGTGTATAGCCCTGACCTGACTCCGCCAGATGGATTTGCTCCGCATATCCATCTGGAAACCTTCCGTTGAAGTAATTTTGGGAAGGGGCGAAAATACTGGTTAGCTGATTGGCCTATGGTGGTGATAGACGGGCCAAATAAACCAATCAGATCATCGAAGCATATGACGTACTAACAGAGCGACGACGAAAACACAACCACAAGCCAGGCTACTCTTGCCGAAACCAGTCGGGAGAAGAGCAAAAACATATTTTCCTCTGAGAAAAGCCTCCAGAGCAGTGTTTTGCTCTTCTTTCAGTGAAGAAATACTCTGTAATTCCGATAAAACTTGCTGGATAGCCACGCTAACCCTAGTGTCATCGGCCTTAGCCGCCATGTTCTTTAGACTGAACTGTCGCGCTTCTCGTTGCGTCACACCTCAACCCGCCTCAAAGCCAACGCTGATTGGACGTTCGTTTGGTGAACGGCTCCAAATTTTCGTTAACCGAGAGTCTCCAGACTGATCGCCGAGTGAAACCTTGAAAGCTCGCGAGATCAGGATGGTCTCACGAGGCTAATATAGCCCTTGCTTGTCATGAACATTCATATGGTGTAATTTTCTATTTCTTTAAACTGTAAAATCATTGCAACAAACTAAATTACAATAAAACTAAAATGCTTTCTTTAAACCAAACTACGATGTTCCTCTTGTATTTGGTGAATTTATGTTAGAATATTTTTGCAAAAATATGTTGCAGTGCATGATGGGTTTTTCAGCTAAAGGCTAACGTTTCCCGTCTAACGTGCATTGTTGCCAGGTTGGGATGTTTCCCAATCTGGCAGTTTAGGATGGCCGTCTATGGGTAAAAAAAAAATTTCTTTTTATTTATGGCCTAAAAGATCAATAGACTTTGGTTCAAATTGGGCAAGATTTCATATATCCAGGCGGTTTATGAAAATTTGTTTGGGCTGGAAAATGTGAGTCAGTGACATCTGGCAACGCTGTTGGACGTTGCACAGCAGCAGTCACTGTCGCGTCTGTGTTAATAACCAAAGCCAGTAAAAATGCATTATAGAAGTCTTGGTGATGTTGCCGTGTGATGCTGGAAGATAAAATGGTTAATTCTAGGGGGCGGGTCGGGGAGGCGTCCATAAGTAACCTGACTCCTTCAGATGGATTTGCTCTGCATATCCATCTGGAAACCTTCCGTAGAAGTAATTTTGGGAAGGGGCGAAAATACTGGTTAGCTGATTGGCCTATGTTGGTGATAGACGGGCCAAATAAACCAATCGGATCAACGAAGCATATGACGTACTAACAGAGCGACGATGAAAACACAACCACAAGCCAGGCTACTCTTGCCGAAACCAGTCAGGAGAAGAGCAAAAACATCTTTTCCTCTGAGAAAAGCCTCCAGAGCAGTGTTTTGCTCTTCTTTCAGTGAAGAAATACTCTGTAATTCCGATAAAACTTGCTCGATAGCCACGCTAACGCTAGTTTCATCGGCTGAAGCCGCCATGTTCTTTAGACTGAACTGTCGCGCTTCTCGTTGCGTCACACCTCAACCCGCCTCAAAGCCAACGCTGATTGGACGTTTGTTTGGTGAACGGCTCCAAATTTTCTTCAAAGGAGAGTCTCCAGACTGATCTGTGAGTGAAACCTTGAAAGCTTGCGAGATCAGGATGGTCTCACGAGGCTAGTCCATAAGTGGGCTGGTGTAAGCTAAATCAATGGGAACTACTAGACACATCTGCAATCAACAACAATTATTGAAGATTTCCAGAGGACTTCACCATTGAAATTCACCAGAGCTATAGTGAAACTGACAATGCCCACGTGCATGGCAGCTGGATGTTGGAATACATCGGGTAAAAGTGGAAAAAAGTGACTTTTTTCACCTTTCCGATTCCGATTCCTTGCCAACTTGAAGAGGGAGGATTTGCCATCGAACTTCTGGCCAGAGAAAAAACCCGTAATATGTAGCCAACATTTGGATAAAGAATGTTTTCAAGAGGACTTGGATAATAGCGCGTTGTGACAAACACCAGATACAGCACTGGGACTTGATCAACAGCCGATACCGCACCGTGACGTCACAAACCAGTAGGTGGCAGTAGTGTTCTTTGACAAACATGGATGCCTCCAGTAAAGCACATTCAAATAAAAATTACTCTGAATTAAAAACACTTATTTATTGAACAGTATTTAATAATTTATTATTTAAAGTACTTTCAGAAATTTGTATTCTGATTGTGACCGGACTTTTCCTTTAATACACAAAAAAAAATTGAAAGAATTAAAAATGTGGATTAATCACATTTAGATTAAGGTTCATATCAGACTAAGGAATAAAGTATTATGGTTTCAAAACTGCTAAAGTTTCGTTTATGCAGGTTTCTTTGCTTGTTAGTGAACCGCCTCATAGTGCAGCAGTTAGGCTACTGTCCACCATCATAACGATATAATGAAGCATGGTCGACTCTTCTAATGAACAACAGCTGATTTGATTTAGAATTTTTTTTATTCACAGATATTTTTGATAGTTTTGTGGCCCGTTAACAGGTTAATATTTTTTGTAAAATATTTAATAAATTTGAATATTAAAGTTGAATTGCAGTATTATAGGACTTTTCTTTATAGTAGCTTACTCTGGTTGCACACAATTATTTTTCTGAAAGTTATACCAAGCCCTGCTGGTGCCTTGATGTTTTGATAGAACTTAGAGTTGCTATAGATCGGTTTATTTCATTAATATCATTCTGCCTTCGAAAACGCCCAACCTGTTTCTTATCTTTTAGACATTGCAGGATATTTAGGCTCTATTAAGTA